GTCCACAGTGCTGTGAGAGAGATTCCTAGGGACGAATCTTACTGAGGGCAACCCACTACAAATGAGTCATTAGTTCAAGTCAACTGTTTAATTTACGAACAAAAATTCGTTATACTAAGACCAGAAGTATGCAGTGCCTCTCATTTGCCAATTTCAGGTTAAAAAAATGCAAAGATTGATTGCTTCCACAGATTAACTTATCCTTTCAATTCACTGATGATTTCTTATGGTCTGAGTAGTGGCTCGCCAATTGGTTATGATGGAAAAACTTCCAATACTTCTACTTGCAATGGATTTCGGCTCTCGGGCTGTCAGACAGGCACTTTTAAAAGTCCTAATTTCACTTGAGAAAGAAAAATACAGCCTCACTGAATTGCTTTTTAATATTTCCTGCCATAATATAACAGTTGTTGCAAAGTCTTATAAAAACCATGTAAGCTCTACAAAGAGAAACAAAGCTGTAGAAAGCTGCTATTTCCTAATAAAATGTCACAGACAGCTTGAAACTGTCATTCTTATGTGATAATTCTGTGCTACTTTAATTGAATGCAGCATCCAAAGTTACTGATTGAAACACACCAGTGAGAAACACTATTCTCTATTTTCTGTCTAGCTTACAGTTTCTTCACTTCTTCAGGAACTGCTAGACAGTTCCTTCTACTCAAAAAAAATAATAAAAAAAATCACTAAAAACCCAAGTAATTTTAAAAATAGTTATTTTAATCCATAACACCACTTCAGAGATGCTGCTTCAGAAATCTGTTAAGAAAAAATAACCTGCCTCTCCAAAGATTTTTAAAGCAGTTTCCTCATAACTTATCAAACTTTTCAAGTAGCAAAGGTATGCAGAGGCTGCATACAACACTTCTGTGGAGATCCCCAAGAGTACTAGCAATTAACTCTTGCTGAAGACTTGAACCCACCAGACCTGCTGATGATTTTGCAGTCCTCCTGCAGGGAGGACCAATGGTTTATAACCCAGCACTCTCAGGTTCGCATATCTCTTCCCCATGATTGAGGTAAGGCAGATGAAAGGTTCTCCCCTCCTCACCCTGTTAAGGCCACTGACGTAAGAACCAGCATTTGCTGGACCTGACTTGCACCAGGAGCTAGGACAGCTGGAGAACGCTGGTGGTGCTCAGCTCTGAGGATTTCACCTGGAATCCTCCCAGGTGGAACCAAGCGCAGGTGCCGTGGCAGTGGTGTTCGCTGAGCTCCACCTGCAGAGCTATCAATACAGCCAACCACAGCGTGTTACAAAACCACACCGTACTGAAATTTGAAAGATAGCTTGCCTCATTTCATAACATGCTACAAGCCACATAACTGATCTTCCCACCTACAGTATCACTCTTAAATAGCAAGCATTTCTCCCTGGATGGGTAAGTATCGCAGCATTTAGCCAAACCGAGCACTTCTGCCGGACACGCAGCTCCTCTGCTCCTGTTACCTCACCCGGTATGGTTAAACGTCAAATGCAGTAACAGTAACTGCCCTGCCGATGACTTGAAAGCAATGAGGAGACGTGCAAAATGGCACTCGTTACTTTCATTTTTGTTTAAATCCAACTCGCTTTAATTCTTTTGAAAAGAAGCACCTCGACGAACGAATAAACCAGAAAGTTTGGCAAAACACTTAACAATAAATTTCACGCTTTAAAATCTTCCAGCTTGGTCACAAACACGTGGACTAGCGCCCTAAGTTTATTCGCACAACTGAGCCCAGCCAAGGGTATGAGAAACGGTTAAAAGCCAAAAAAGAATGGCCTTGCAGGGTGCCACCACATAAACTAAACACGATATACTGCCAAACGCTCAAGCAGACACATGTACCATTATTCAGCAAGGACCACATGAATGCATATGGCTCTCTGTTTTGTCTTCATAGTAACAAGAAGGTTTGTAAACAGATCTCACATATGAGGCAATCTAGTCACTTGAGAATCTAAAAATCTGTCTCTCCAAAGAGGCGTTCTGCGCTGTTGCCACACCACCGGACTTGGATACACAATTAAAAGTCCTCTGCGTTTGTGCCTCAGGACAAGTGCTGCTCACTTTTGTTCTTAGCACAGCAGCGATGCTGTGGCACGCCACCACAGCCGGGGTGTATACCTGCTTTGCCCAGTAGCCACTGGAAAATAACAGCAATGCTGCATCCTATAAAACCTGAAGAATGTGGGTAGTTCCATCAATAAAAGCAATGATGCCCTGGCTTTGTACCATACCGTGGCTGTCTTTGCACTGCTGAAAACCTTAAATTTATTTACCGAAGATGGTAGTAACTTTGAAAAACTTCAATGGAAAAAAAAAAAAGCCTCCCAGCCTAATCTGCAATGCTGCCTTTTTTTTTTTTTTCTGTAAAACGAGAAATGCAAGAATAAAAAAAAATCCCTCAGAAAGTTTCGGGTAATCCATATCTAAACTTTCAGAAGTATCTGCTGCCTGGAAGGATAAGGAAAGATTTAACATCTAGCTGTAAATAAATATAATCTCCTGGTTACCGTGCACCTAACCAAACACATCCGCACGCTGCAAGCCGACCAGGCAAAGGCGCTCCTATCTCTAAAACCAGCTGCACTTTCGGAGCACGCCCGCCTATCATTTTCACTATCAAAACACGGGATTCCGCACCGTGTCCTCACGGCCCGAGGATCCAACTCCTCCGGCAGCCAGCGGTAAGCTACAAGGAGAGGATTTCAAAGCCGGGCCCACCGCGTTTGCTCCTCGTCGGTGCGGCGGCTCCCCGGGCGCAGCAATTACCGTAACGAGCCGGTGTCCCCGCGCTCGGGCGATGACCGGAGCCCCCTTGCGCCGGGAGCTGCAGCAGCACGGCCCGCCCGGGCTCTGCCTCCGCCGCCCTCCTGCACCGCTCCTGCTCCTCCCCGAGCGATCCCCGGGCAAGATGCAGCGCGAGTTTAAGTAAATTAATAAATAAATAAATAAGAGCGACACCCTTGGCTAAGCAGGCATGTGTTTTCCGTATTTAATAGCGTACAAAAAAAAATAGGAGTCGGGTTTTACGGCGAAGTTTACTTCACTGCAGAATGAGAGAAGGGAAATGAGCGAGCTGAACGCTCCTCCCGAAATTCAGGAATATTTCGGTGAGCTTAATGCAAAAGGGCACTTCGGAGTTGCTGGAATAAAAGATCTTGAACGTCTGAGGAGAAGCTGAATTCCTGCAATTACCATATTAAGGAAACAAAACACCTCGCGGCAGCGTTTGACCAGCGCGCTGCCAAGTAACGCGAAGACCGGCGAGCCCTTTTTTCCGGGAATTCCTCCCGGAGCGCTTTTATCGCGGCCCCGGGGCTCGCCCCGGCCGCCTGCCCGCGGCGACAAGGCGAGGGGAGGGAGGCGCCGGGACCCCGCCGGGGGCAGCCCCCGCGGCCGGGACGCCGCCGCCCGTCCCCCGGCCATCCGCCGCGGGCTCCCCCGGCGCAGCAGCGGGCGGCGCCTGCCCGCCAGCCCCGGCCGGGCTTCCCCGCCCCGCCCCTCCCCTGCCCTCCCCTCTGCTCTCCTCGCCGCCCGCCCCGGCTCTGCTCGGCTGGGCTCGGCTGGGCTCTGCGCGGCCCGGCGCTGCCTCCCGGGGCTGCCGCTTACATAACGGCGGCGGGCCGCGCGCCTTACATAAGGGGCCGTGCCCCCGGCAGACCCCGCGCTGCCACCACCGCCACCGCCACCACCAGCAGCAGCAGCAGCACCACCGGCGGCGGCCGAGCCGAGCCCCTGGCGAACCCCCTTCCTGCGGCGCTCACACGTCATGGAACATTCCCGGAACGGGCCCGCGGCCCACCCACTTCAGGGAACAGCGGCCGCACACACTCACATGCACACACACACACACACACACACACACACACAGCCCGGCGCCGGGTGTCCCCCGCTGCGCCCCCCTCCCCTGCCCGTTCCGGCCGCCGCCGCCGCGCCGGGTGGCCCCGGGCACCCCCCCCCCTCCCCGTTCTTTATCCCCCCCTCCCCCGGGGGCCGCGGGCACAGCGCAGCCGGGGCGCCCCCCGCGCCACCCCCCCTCCTTCCCGTCCCCGCAGCGGCAGGGGGTTGCGCAAGGCAGCCCCGCTCCCCAGCGGCGTGCGCTCGCAGGCTGGGTATTCCCCGCGTTCCCCGGCGCCGTGTCACCCGCACAGGCCCGGCCCCGGCACCCGCGGGCCCCTCCGGTTGGATCACCCCGGGGACACCGCCGGGTCGGCGACCACCTCCCCGCCCCGCCGCCTGTCAAGCGCCCCCCCCCCCCTCTCCCACCGCAGCCCCAGTGCCCCCCGGCCCCGCGGGGCGGCTGTCAGCCGCTCACCTGGGAAGTGGCGGAGGAGGAGGAGGAGGAGGAGGGAGCGGAGCCCTCCCGGTGCCCTTGCTGCTGCTGTTTCTGCTGCTGCTGCTGCTGCTGGCGGCGGTGCTGGTGCTCCCGCCGGGCGCTCCGTGTGCCCGGAGCTCGGCGGCCCGGCGGCGTGTCTTTATATAAGGCCAGGCAGAGATATTCCAGCGGCCAAGGGGCGTCTGTCTCGCGTATTGATCTTAAGGGAGCTCATCGCTGCCCCTCCGCCGGGAACGCACCAGCATCACCGCGGCACTGACGGGGGCGAGGCGGAGGCCGGGGCCGGGAAGGAGGAGAGGAGAGGAGAGGAGAGAAGGGGAGAGGAGCGGAGCGGGGAGGCGAGGCAGGGCTCGCAGCGCGGCCGGGCTATTCCTGGCGCCGCTTCCCACGGCACAAGTTACGGGGCGGCGAGCGCCGAGCCAGCGCCGGGAGCGCGCCGCCCGTGACGTCACCGGGTCCCCCAGCGCGGCGGCGGCGGCAGCGGCGTGTGAGGGAGGGAGGGAGGGGAGGGGAGGGGAGGGGAGGGGCGCGCCCGGCCGCGGGGTGATGGGCGCTGCCCGCGCGGCTGTGCGAGGGAGCGGAGCGGAGCGGGGGGAGGCGGGGCGGAGGGGCGGGGGCACGGCCGCGGCCTCGCCCCGCCGGGGGAGATCTCCGCTGCCCCCGGCCCCTCCCCGCGCAGGGAACTCCCCGGGGAGCCGGCCCCATGCGGGCAGCGCGGAGCCTCCCCGCGCGGCCGCCCGCCTCCCCTTCCCCTCACGCCCCCCCCCTCCCACAGCCGTTACACGGCCGTTATTCCAACGGCCGCCCCCTCCCCACACACACACGCAGCCCCCCGGGGCCGGTTAACGGCCGGCGGGGCTCGCGCCCACGGGGCCGCCCGCAGCCAATCAGCGGCCGCGACGTCACGCGGGGAGGGGCGGGGCCGCGCCGGGTCGGGCCGGGGCCGCGCTCCCGCCGCAGCCGGGGGCAGAGCGGCCGTGAGGGGAATCCCCGCGGCGGGGCGGGGCGGGGCGGGGCCGCGCCTCATCCTGGCGGGGCACCGCGGCCGGGCCGGTAGCAACGGCGGGTAACTCGGTTGTTTTTACCCACTTCTGTATTTCAGAGCAGGCTGAATGTGAAAATCTCCAGTGCTGAGCAGAGACTCAGCCGGGTGACCCCTCGTGCGCTTCTGATCCGAGATAAATGAGCCCTGTGAGAGCTGCAAGATCCCCTCTGGCCATGTTTGTTACAAGGTTCTGAAAGACCCTTACTTTTAGGTATGTGGGGAAAACACTTTGCCTTGCTAACAAGCAGGCCACCCTAGCACTTCGTTACTGGTTAAAGGAGATGGAGGAGCTCCTACTGCTCCCAGCCGTGTGTCCACCCCACCCTTCCCGCTGCCCCACTTTTTCTAGGAACAGCTGAAGTAAGAGCCTGCCAAAGGCACAGCGTGATTTAGCAACTTTTGCGTTATATATAGCCTGAATAATTAAGTGACTTTATTTTCTAAAAGGCTTACCTATTTGTATTCCCATTAGACCTGAGAGCCCTTCGTTCAACACTCTTCTCAAATAGGCGACTCTCCGTCTTCTGTCATCTTCCAGTTCAAAGAAAGCTCAGGTGCTGTCGTGTATAGAGAATTTCCCATATGGACTGGGGAGAGACAGAGGGGCTCACCAGTGACACCTCGAAAATGGGGGAAAGGGAGAACATCTTGCCTCCTCAAAGTGGCAGAGGACGCTTTGAGTAAGAAAAATTACATTGAATTGGAGCCGCCTAGAATTTGGCTGCATTAACCCATCTCCTTTATTCTTCTGGCACCTGCCCTGGGAGCCTTCCCAACCGCACTGGTCGCCCTCTTGGTTTTACATCTCAGGAGGCTTCCCACAGGCTGGTGCCCCGAGCACCCTGCAGTAACCTTCGCTCACAACTGATTCAGAGGGAAGTGTGCCACCTACTGAAGGACCTCGGCCACTTTCTATATGCCTTGGACGTGCTTTAGTTTCTTTCCTCAACTTTCCAGGTCTTCACACCAGGGTTTTTAATTAGGAATTAGTTATTAGGAGTTAGGCTTATGAAAGTTAGTAAACTCAGCAATTGGAAGGTCATGAAGGTGAACGTGAGGAAATGCGATCCAGGCTAGTTCCATCTAATCCATGCGTAAGCACTGTAACTTGAGATCAAAATAAATCCTCTGTCTGAAAGCAACTGTGTTACCCCTACACTGCCACTGTTGCCAAAAGTCAGATGAATATCAAGAATTGAGGCTATAACTTCAAGAAAGCTTAGATTTTAGGGGTAATCAGTACAACCAATGGATGTGTTGGTTACACTGACATCATGGTATTTGCTGTTTAAGTAGCAGCAAGGTGTTTTTTTTTTAACAAATGAGTGAACAACTTCCTTCACTGTCAGACAGCAGTTCCCTTTGATAGCACACTCTCTTGAGTTAATCATTCGGTTGAACAAGCTCAAAAGAAACTTCAGAGAGTCGTTGCCATAACTTGTTTGACACACCTACACGGTGTCCTTTGGTTACCCATGTCTCATGTTATGAAGTTCTTCCTACAGGGGAATGCATCACTTTTGGAGTATAACTGAAATATCAACAAAGTTGAAACATTGGCCAGCATTGTTTCCACTAGAAATCCATGTTGTAATAGCAGATGATAAATAAATATTTTAACAAGATAATGGCTTTCACTAAAATCCGTGGGACTAGTGACTGAAAAACTGGTTATGAGAGCCTTTCATATCAGAGTCTGATTTAAATTCTTCTCGCGTACATTATAGTAGATGATCAAAATAACTACAATTCTGATTCACTGAAACTAACATATAATATGTGTCTTTGAAGCTTATCACACTTCTGTATTGGGCGTATTTATTCCTGAGAAATCTTGTTCTGTTTCCACTGGAAAGCAAAAATGAAATAAAATGTTTTAAAGTAAGTATCTTAATGTATTCACAGTCTGAAATGTGTATTATAACAGTTTGAAGTGTTTCTACTGGCTTTGTCACGTGCAGTTTTAACTGACATTTCATGAGGTACATTAAAACCTCTGTAGTGCCTGAAACTGTGCTGCTCAAGGTTTCACATATGTGGGAGATACAAGGGAAATAAAATTCATTGTCAGCAACCACAAACCAAGGTAGAAATCCAACTCTAAATATGCTGTAAGATTCATGGCATCTCTACTATCAGCGATCAAAAAAAGGGTCTAGGAGCCACTGTGGGCAGTTCTGCAAGAACATCAGCACGGTGTTCAGCAGTGGCTGAACTTGGCAGAAGACAAACAGTTGTTAGGACAGTTACTAGTTCATACAGCTCTGTATGAATCCAGGATGGCACATAACAAGTGCAGTATCTACAAGAAAACTCTAGGATGGAGTTAGAGCAGGGTGACAAGGTCAACCTAGGGCAACTTCCAAATGGGACTAAACAAACCAGAAAAAATGTCTTCAGACGGGAAAGGAGATGCCGGATGCAGTGCAGCAGGTATGTGGCACCTAAGCCCACCTCTAGTTCTCCAGCACTGTCTCAGCTCCCGAGGCATGTCTCTAAGGCACAGGGAGGTTTTTTGTGGATTACAGGGGGTGGACATCGTTTTGGTAGCACCTATTACATTAGTCATGAGAAGAGCATGAGCTGGAGCTGAATACTCACTAACACTCTCAAAGCCCAAAAGCTAGCAGGGTGTCCTGCCTCTCTCCAAGTACCCAGTCGCAGATTTAGAACAAGTGAAAAGAGGCACAGCACACCATGGAAGTACAAACCATGGACAGAAGAAATCCCTGGGCTGCCCAAGTATGAACATCTTCATAAAGTGGTGTGCCCCATTAGCTGTGAGATAACCCATTATCAGAACAACACCCATATGCACACAGATGCTCAGGGGATCTGTACCCCTCGCTATCTGGCAGAAGAAGCTGTATCACAGGAAAGATACAGGAGACAAAAAGTGGGACTTCCTTCAGCACTGTAACTGGACACTCTTTGTGGACAATAAATTACACAGAGCTTCCATCTGGTTGCAACAGTGGCAGCCCTTTTCTTCCTACTGATTTCTGGATTATTATTATTATTATTTTCAGTCACCATTAGCATCTCTTTCTGTAGACATACTTTTTGGCTTTTTCATAATTTTCAATTTCAAAGCTTATAAGCAGAAGCATTCAAAGAAAATGTTGGCTCATCCTTGAACTGTTTTTCTACATGGTGAAAGAGAAATCGCAAAGCACATTTTATATTTTCTGCTTTAAAAACACAAACATATTAAAAGATCTCCAGCAAGATATCGATTTGTCATGATGCAATCAATCCTAATAGTGAAAAGATCAACATAAATTCTATTTCTAAACACCACAAGTATTCAATGTGAAATACCAAAACAGGAAACTTTGTATTAAATTTGTATATTTTGAACTTGTAATATTTTCTCAGACAGTATCACTCCAATTAGGCGGTCAGCATGTGTTTTGCATTTTAGAATCCATATAGAACTCATCGGTAATAAAGAGATATGGAAGGGATATGAGTCATTAGTCATATTCAGGAAACATGTTTCTGGAAAAAAAATTAATACATGACCAGTTGCCAGCAAGTAGCAATCTGCTACATATACGAATAAAGTATGTTATAAAGCTACATATTTTAATGATAGTCTTTAAATGTTAAAATTGTTGTAAACTGTAATGGAAACAACATTTCTCTAATGGAATATTTAATCTTACTTATGACCCCCTAAAGACTGCATAACGATTCTTACATCAATGGGAGCTGGGTAGAATTGCACAGTTGGTGTAGTACAGTAAAGTCTGAAGTTAAGCCGCTGCGTAAAGGTAATCTTATTGCTAAGTGCAGGAACAAACCCAGTGATTTTGGTGATGCCCTCTTGGGCTTAAGGTTAAACAAATGTTTAAGTGTTCTAGACGTCACAGCCCTGCGCCCTCCATCCTTTCTCATATGGGAACACTTCTTACACACCTCTACAAGTACAATTTAGCCCAAATCAGTACACTTAATGAAACAGTTTCCCTTCTTCAGAGACTGCTAGTATGTGTGTACATGGTTTTGCTACTTTTTGAGGATCACTGGCTTTTCCATGTGGGTTGGCACTGCTAAGTTCAAAAAGGTTGCATTCCATGTTGATGAGTTAAAATTATAATTGTGGTCTCAGTATAATTGCAAAGAATTACTGGAGGTGGGAAAAGAAAAAAAGGAGTCACTTTGTCTTTGGGGTCAATAAGGACATTGATAGACTGTTAAAAAATAAAAAGATATTTTTACCCTAAAGCTAAAAATTGTCATTGCCCATGTAGTAACAATATTTTGCTATGGAACAGCTGGGGAAAGTCAGCTGGGGAAAGCCATTTGGTGGATAACAACACACAGAAACAGAAATTCACTCTTGGCCCAACAGCATCACCACAAATGTTCCTGTCTCAAGGTCCCTGGAATGTAGAGATTACTAAAAGAGCAAATTAAAAGTTCTGTGACATCTTTGTTTGAACTGTAATTACACTCATTTTTTAACATTCCATAAATGTTTAATACTACAGAGAAATTAGCAGCAGCTATCCCTGTGTGCTGTGAGCAATCAGCAGGGAAGCCTCATTCATGCACATATAATAACTTAAAGGCCACCTTTTTGTCTTGTATTCTCTGTCCTAGGTAGGTACAAAGGTCTGTTAAACAGTTTAGGTGAAGTGCTTTTCTTCCAAAATATCAAAAATTCATTTTTGGTTTGTCAGAAAATAAATAAATAAAATAATTAATTAATTAATTAATGGCTAAAGAGTTTATGACTGTAGACAAAAGATGTTCCTGAAGTATAAATTAACTTGGATTTTGGTTAAAAAATATATATGTTATATATATATATATATATATATATATTCCAGCATAATATATATATATATATATTCCAGCAGATAAGACAGATATAGCAAGAAAGTGAAGGCATTCTGGGGAGAAAAAAAAAATAAATTCATTGCTAGTCCTCTTCAGTGCTAGTCCTCCAGTATCATCCCAACAAGACTTCAGAAAACGTATAGGCATTACCCATTTAGTTGAGTATAGCAAGTTATTGTCTGCATACACTGCATCATTCAAGCTATCACAACTGAAGAACATTCGTGGACCAAGTGTAACAAAGACCTTAGTCCTGAGAAAACAGGAGATTTCAAGTCTGGCTTCAGTGAAGTGCTGTCGGTGCAATCAAGAACAAAACCTTCTTCTGATACTGAAATAGTTCAGCCTACAAATCAGGTAGCTGTGACCTACACTTGTCTATAGCTTAGGACCTCTAATTGCACTGTCTCGCACTGCCTGGCTCCCCTACAGCGCAGGATTTAAAAGCTTTTTATTTCCTCAATCTGCCTTCTCAAGGCCACCTGGGAACTGCTGAACGCAGACAGGACTGCAAGCAGAGGGCTAGCACCGTGCCCTAGTCCTGCTCTGCATGGCCAGACAGCTTGTCCGAGAGAATAGATCAGTGGGCAGCCGGAAAGTAAAGGGATAGCTGGCAATATCCAAGGAGGGAAATGAAGCACATATTGGCAGGGAGTGAAAAAATAAAATTATGCTGGATGGGAAGAGGAAGTACTGAGAAGGAAGTCATCTCAATTCAGGAAGCTCTTAATAATGTATTTTAAGTTAAAGCACATGATTCATTACTTTCATACCAATATTATGTGTGACTCCAGCTAGGCATATATTTGAGCAACTTGCTGAGCTGGGGCTCTGCATGCAGTTTCACAAGCTGCTTGGGGTGGGGCAAGTCCACGGTGCCACTGAGAGGTGATGTTCCTCTTCCCACTGCCCCTCACCCTGTTGTTCCACCACCTCTCCTCTGCTGGCATTAGTACCTGGGCAAGCTGGGCTACCAGCACCACCAGCTCACTCATGCAGCTGGTGCCAGCACTGGTGATGGAGGCTGGAGAGTGTAAGCAGGAGAGATAAGGGTAAAACATTATTTTTTTTTTCCCATTAAAATGCCAGCAACATATCCAGCAACATATCCAGCAGCAGGGGCAGGACATGACCTTCAGGCACTTGTTAAACTGAGCTCTGCGTGTCCTCATCCGCTCCTCTTTTCCTTTAGCAATGCTAAACAGAGATTTCAAGCTTATCTTGGATGGGGACTGCAAATTCCCAAGCCTTCACAACCTTTTTCTGAAGCAGTTAAATAAGCACCATATCTCCATGCAGACGTGGTGTAAGAAACAGATCCAGCTACGTGACTGGGAATAAATAAAAAATAATAATTTGCATTTTCAGAACAAACATTTCTGATTTTTTTTTTCCTGAAGAAGTATGTGACAGATGGTTTGAGTGAGTAGTGGTGAGGCATTCAGACACTACCAATTTCCTAGTGTTCTCTCAGCTATTTACAGTTTCTGTTGCATGCATTAAAAACTGAGAGCATTTTTTCCCCCATAAACTTAAACTTGTCCCTTTACATATAAGAAAAAGACCTCTCAGATGTCCCATACTGGGACATTGTAATGAGACTGTTTGAATTATTGGTCTCCATCATTCAATGTACAGTACATATATAGACATAGCTCATTACTCAGGGAGAGACAATAAAATAGCACTAACCATTTAAAACCTATTAATCTGGATAGCACAGTTAGCATAAGCAATACTTTATTATTACAAAATTAAATCCATTATAAGTATCCTGAGTATCCAATCAGTTTAGTAATACACCGACTAAAGCTGTCTACATGAATGGCTGTACTGCTTGATGGAATACGTTTGGTATTGCTATACATTAATCTGACTTTTACTGTGGTGTTATTTATAACTCTGACAAATTGACTTTCATAACATGTAAAGCAGATAAACAATTTATGAAACAATATTTAGAGCATTTTTATAGGTTATGTGATGGATTTTTTTTTTCTTTTCTCTTTAGGGGCTACAAGATGTTTTCCAGCAAAT